ATCTCTGCTGGCAAAGAAATAAAATAAACAAACTGGGACACTAGTAGAATAATCAGCTTTTAAAATCCTTGGGTTTTTTTATATACTGCTTATTTTTTATGAGACTTCTTTAACTCAATTTGCCACATATAGATTTGGCTCCCAGCTATTTCATTTTTCACGTGGCATGTTATCAACAATTATTGTATCAGAGTTCCATGAAATAAAAAGGAGATGGGAAAATTTTAAATTACAACATTTCTCATGTAAGAAACACTAATATTCCTTTCTTTTGGAGGACTGTCCATACTCAGCACTCTTTCACACCAATCCCAGGGAGAGTGGTAGGAGTAAACTACACAACTCCAGGAGAAAGAAGGAGTTGGATGAAACCAAAGTTTAAAAGAAGCCACTTGGACTTTTGCTATTGACTTGAAAGGGACCAAGACGTATCCAGAGAGTTAGTGAAGCGGAAAGGATGAATGGGAATGGAAAAGGCCAGTCTGACAGGAACAAATTGTTTTGGAGAGATGAGTTAATTTTTGACAATCTTTCTGTTAAAACAAAATAGATACAACCCAGAGCAAAGCACTCGAGTCGCTGCGGAGCATTTCACATTGACCTTTTCAGAACTGAGCGCTTCAGTTAAGTAAGACATCCACATCCTTCCATAAGGAACATTTTGAGGTGGTTACAGCAAAACTAAGCTTCTGCAGAGATGGAAATAATCTTTCTCCAACACACTATTGTTTTGTGATTAAATTCCTTCTTTTTCTTTTGTACTTAAGCATTTTCATTCTATCTTATTGAGCAATTTTTCTTTTGGAAACTGCAGAGTTTCTTTTGGAAGAGCGCTCCGCAAGGACACCCCTGGGATCCTGCACCCCCAGCGGTACAAGGGCAGGGACTGGGCTCATGGCAGGCAGCCACTGGTGCTGTACAGAGGGGAAAATCCCACCTCAAGCCCCAGTTCCTTCCTGCCATAAGGCAGTGGAGCTTGTGTGAGGCTGCTCAGAGACGCTGGCTGGGAAAAGGCAGCAGAATCCTCGCAGGGCAGGCGGCGCCGGGCAGCGAAGCTCTGCCACCCGTCCCGCCTTGTCAGCGCTTGAAAGGCAACTCCTGCAGCTCCGGGAGAGCTCTGCTGATTAAGGCTGCCAGAGGGAGCAGGGGAATTTCTGCTCCAGCTTGCAGCTGCATTTTTAAAACTTGGCTGTGTTCTTCATACAGAGGCAAAGTTCAAAGAGGCAGAACATTATTCAACATGAGTAAAACACGGTCTTTTAAGATACACTTTCAAACAGTGGCACGTTAAATCAAAACAACTCATGGAGGGGGAGAGCAAGGAAGAAAGATGGTCCTGTGGAAAAGGAAATCCTGCATCACTACTCCTGTTCTGCATTTTTGGAAGGGCCTGCATTTATACATTTAAATTGTCAGCTGCTTGACCTGAGGCTAGATAAGCTAGAAATGCATTAAACTGTCTCCCAGAGAGAATAAAAAAAAGGAAAGAGATGCAATTCAGTTTAAGAGCCAGCAAACATCTTAGGATGCACAGGAGCCAGGCTGCAATATGTGTTCACACTACAGAGAAGTTCACCGAGAGTGAGCTCCTGATTTCAAGAACACTATGCTACAGTGCAAGACACTATTTCAATTAAGTTATTATAATCTTAACCAGCAACAACAACCTATTACAGTTAATAATACTTGATGACTTCTTTTCTATTCCTGTCAAGGGTTGCTTCAAGGTGACTCACAGAGAGCACACTCCTTGGGAACCCAGGCTGAGTGCTCTGCAGACTGGGAAGCCCCTTCACTTAAACCCCATCAGACTGTCTAATGAGTCTCTTCACATTGCTGCCAATTCTTTTAGCTCTTGGACAATTTTGTATATTTATATTTCAGGCTAAAGCAAACTTGCTTCCGTAAGAGGCTGAGTGCCCAGCAGTATCACACCATTCTGTGGGCTGGAGCACGGCTCTTTCCTGCATTCCCATTTCCTTGGTTCACTCTACCCTCTGGCTTATTCACTGTTGAGTCAGTAGGTCACACCCTTACTTGGTCACTCTCCATCCCCTGCTGTGGCCAGGCACAATTTCCAGCTCCCTGGCAGGGTCAGAGATGAAGCACCACACTGTGTTCCAGCTCAACGCACCCCAGCCCTAAGCGGGGACCGTGCTGTGCTTTGTGGCACAGAGTCCTCCAGAGGCACAGCCCTGCCTGCTGTGCCCACACACCGCGGGCCTTTGCTTCACCCTGGACCCTGGCTGTGCTGTGACAGCACCGCAGAGCCCCTTCCTGCTCACTGGAACGGGATCTGCTCTATTGATCCTGCTAAAGCCTTACTGGGGCTTTCCCTGCAGCTCAAGGTCACTGCGCCCTGCTCAGCCTGTGCCTAACAGCATATTTTTGATGGTGTTGCTCTGCAAAATTTCCATTGGTAGGGATTGAGCTCCGTATGTCCTTTTTTATCTGTTTGTGGTTGGTTTTTTTTTTAAATCTGTGCAAAATCCTGACTGACTCCAAACATTCACTGGCTGCTCACTCTAGTTACCCTTAGAGTCAGCATTTATTTGGGACACTCTATAATCCAGCTACTTTTCTCATCAGAGGTGTGCAAAATTATTAAAAACATTGCAGATACTGTCATAATCAAGTAATCCTGCATTTTTAATCACAGCCATTATAAATGGGCATATGGAATATGCAAGAAATAACAATTGCACAGGGTATCCAGGGAAGCATTTTCAGTCCTCAGGCACAGTTCAACAGCAGTGAGCAGTGGAAAATAAGTGCTGAACTGTAACATATAATAAGATTTTTTAGTTTGCTTGAAGCATGGATATACACACATATGCAGATATATTTTTATAGATGCATATACATATCTAACTTCCTGTTGAATCAGTAATGAACACATTCCGCTGTTATCTTGAAGAATATGCAGTGTCTTTCATTTGTCAACCACTGCTACAAAAAATGAATTCTGGGCACATATTTCTTGCAATGGCTGGTGTGGTATTTCCTTAGTTATTTTAATACTGTGAAGCATCTTGAACTAAAAAGTTTCTAAATTTTTGCAAGATCTATGCTTAGCTAAATACATTGTCTAGACTTGTCTCTGCACAAAACAGGGACACATAACTGTGAGGCAAAGGAGAAGCACTTGGATATCACCAGTAGCTCCATGACCTCTCTATCACTTTCTCAAAGGCACAAGATCGTGTTTCTTGCCAAGTACATGGAATGAGGGCCTCCGATACCCAATTCCTAGGAGGCTCTACAAAAGTAAAGAACAGAAATTCAATACTAATATAAACCTTTAAAAGAATACCGATTAAACAGGAAAGAGAGAAAAAGAACCCCCAACCAAATACATCAAAGACAAATGTAATTGCTTTTGAATAAAAACAGATTGCTTTCTACCTTCCTGCCTTAAAGGCAAGCACTCCAGCCTGGGATACAGAATACCAAAAATCACTGCTGGAAGCAGAGGCACAAGTATTTTGTAGGCAAAGTTATCCTATTCTGATTTAATAGCTCAAAGGCTTATCTGGATTTCAGACAAGAAGAGGATGCAATTTACTGCTTGTTTCACACAGATGAACAGAGCTCGTTAAAACATTTGGGAACACTTTGAATATTGATCTGTCCTCGAATAAGATGTAAGAAATTCATTTTGCTATGAAAATGTATCAATCTTCAAACCTTGATATGCCCCAAAGTGGCCTTCAAATGAAAGCTGGAAAATCCTCTGGGAAGATGCCATTAAAGCCATCAGCTCAGGGGCGTCTCACATCCCCTCCTCCAAGCAGGACTGGGATCAGGACTTTGAAGCTGGGACATCATCACCCAAAGCGATCAGGGAGGGAGCTCTACTCGTTCTTTCCACAGAAATAAAGTCACGTTCTGTCCCCACTCTGTGCCACCACAGCCTCCCGTTCCTCACCGTGCTGGAAGACAATCAATCACGGCTGCGAATCACCTTGTTAAAAACAGTGCCCACCGGAGACTTCGCTGTGACACCTCCGGCAGCGGAGACACCGTGATAAATGTTTGCTGACACAAACCAAAGTCACAAGGTATTTAACCCCTCAGCTGGCAAACAACCGAGGATACAATGTGCCTAGGAAAAATCTCCCTCCGATTTCAGGAGGCTTCCAATTGTTCTGGTGCTACAGGGCAATTTATGTTCAAAGAATGGATATGCTCATATTAGTTACACTCGGCAACGACCCACAACAACCCTGCTACCATTTTGGAAATAAAAAATCAACTTTATAGTTGAAAACAGAACATTAAAGATCCTTATACCTCTGTTTTTTTTCTAGCACATAAACATGTCCACGTAAAAATCATCACTTTTCCACATACAGCTTACACCACCGCTAATTTTTCACCCATAAACTTTCTGAAATTGTATTTCAGGGTTTTCCCCATTTCACCCTCTGTTAGAAAAGTCTGTGGGAACAGAGGATGAGCCTGCAATTTCAGTGGAAATATTCCCCCTTCCGCAACTTTGCGTCGGGCCCCAAGTAAGAAAGTATTTTCTGCACACCTTGGGACACAGACTTATTTGGAGTCTGACTGGATGCCAGATATTGAGTTGGCAAATGACTGGATTAAATGTCATGGAGGCGGATATTCAGCATTTCAGACACAGGGTCAGTGAAAGGCCACTGCTGGGTTGGCTTTCAGTGCTCTGTAATTAGAAAACCAGCCCTCTACGTGCATAATGAGCATATGAGAATGGCAACACAGAGCAGATCTCTGAAAAACTGCTGTTTTTACAAATTCCACAGCTAGGAAGGGACCACCAGGATCCAGGTTCCCTCCAAACCAAGTCTGCACTTTGTCTTCAGAAAGAGACACAAGACTCTTCTCACCTTCATCAGTCTTCCATAAAGAGCCAGGAAGAGCAAACCTTTCCCTCATCCCTCTATTCCAAGCGCAGGCTAAGCCACCACACCAGATGAATGGCTGAGAGGCAGTGAAACTTTAAGACTTTTTTTTGACTGTACCTGGTTTAGAGCCTTCATCAACAGACCCATTATAGACTTGGTTGATGAACTCCGGTCTGTTGTCATTCATATCAATCACATAGATGTAAAGGTCAATAGGATTCTCCACCTTGTTTCCATTCATATCCACTGCATGAGCCCGGAGCTGGGAACAAGCACAATGAAAGCACAATATCAGCAATTGGATTTGTTGCAGAGTAAGAGACCGTTTTGCAAGGATTGACTTTACCTCATAAATACTTTCTCAAAATTCAATGGAGCAGGTATCTAATTCCAGCAGAAAGCACTGCCATAGTTTCCATCTAGACTCTACCCACAGACAGCTTTTCAGGGCTTAACATAATACTGAAATAATATTTTAAAACTGCGATTGTCAATGGAAACACTTTAACTCTGGTGCAGAGATGCTATCTCCTTCACTGCTCACAGACCACTGTATTTTAATTTTTAAGCCACGGTGAACTTTGTCTGACAGTCTGAAAAGCAAATTTTGCTTAGTTCCAAATACGGCGAAGAAATGAGTTTGAGCGAGAGGTTTCTTATGGGAATCTGCAGCCTTTCACACCCACAATAACAGGGATTAATAGTGAAGAGATTTCAGAATGACATTAGTAGTGTTTATTGTTTGTTTAATCATGGTCTCTAGGAACAGCAACAGCTACCGACCCCATGGCTCCGTGCACCAAAAGACATTTAAAAAGTCCCTTTCCCTCAAATAATGGGAGCCCCTGTGACATTAAGAATGAAATATTTTCCTCAGGCTTGACTAAAATACCCAGTGCTAATGCATTTCAATAACCACAGTCACAGTGTTAAGCCCTCAGTTAAAATGGAACTGCAGCTTTATCTTATTAGCAATAACCATCAGTAATAATGCCCAAAAACAAGAGCATCTGTTTTCTGAACAGGAGAGACAGATACAGCATGTCAAAATGAGTAATTAATAAAACAAAGCAATCAACAATACTCAGGAACAATCAGTAACCAGGTGAAAAAAATGGATAGCTTTCTCATTAAAGGGAACAGATGGCTACTCTGAGTGGTGTGTGGCTGAATGCGCTGCCGACACCGGCTTCGGGAAAACTCTGACGGCGAGGGAAGAGCTGCGCGGCCCCTGACCACGGATGGCAGCAGGGAGGCACTGGCTGGCTGTGAGCACTGCAGACTCTGGCTATCATCCCTCTCCATTTCAGCCTCTGTGAGCACTGCTGAGCCTCCGCCCTGCCACAAGAACTGGGGACAGCACTCGGGATGGCTGTGTGACATCCAGCAAGGCTGGTGGGCTGAAGAATGAAGGCTTCAGAGGACGTCAGCTTCACAGACTCACAGACTCACAGAACGGTTTGGGTTGGAAAGGACTTTAAAGCTCAACTAGTTCCAACTCTCAGTCACGGGCAGGGACACTTTCCACTAGACCAGGTTGCTCCAAACCCCGTCCAATCTGTCCTTGAACACTTCTAGGGATGGGGCAGCCACAGCTTCTCTGGGCAACCTCTTTGTGCAAGGGCTGGCTGGGAGAGCGGGGCTGAAGGACAGGGGATGCACCAGCTCGTGCCATCCAGAGGGATGGAGGCCTCTGGTTACTCCCAGCAGTTCCCTGCACCATCAGGCTGCTGCTGGGAGTCAGAGCTGACATGCCAAGGAGGTCTCAGCTCCTCTGATGCATGACAAATAAATGTGCTAATTGCATTAGCACTGGTTCCTGTCTTTTGCTCTCGCTGTGTAGGTGATTGATGCAACTTTCTCCTTCATGTACAGTGCTCAGAAGTCCAGAGCTTTAACAAAAGAGACTGCACACCATTAGGATGGGCTGGCTTAACATTTAATCAAGCAAAGAGAACAAACTGCCACGTGAAATGAGCTGGGAGAAAAACATTTTTTCTAGAAGAAAGTTAAGCAGCACTTTTTCTTTAAAGCCTGAGGAAGTCCAGCTTTGCCTTCAGTACAGGATGTACCATTTGTATTTCATGAGTTGCAATGCTCTTAATATCTGCATTTCTTGACTGCATACGAACTGCTTTGGCTCCCACCTGTTGAGCTATCCTTCATCATGTCAGATGTAGCAATTCAATAACTTTACAGTCAGAGGTCAGACTGTCTTTGAAAAAAAGTAATTTGGAGCTAAAATTAAAGTTATTATCTTCAAACTGAGGCAGCACCGGGCCCTCTCTTACAGCATTTCCAGCAGCAGAAATGGTTCCATTCAGAGATAAAGCAGAGAGCAAAGCTGGTATCTCCCCCCTCAGATCTGACTCTCCCCCTGCAAATTTTTAATTAGATTTGATAGCTTTTGTTTGAAATCTCCAGGAGTAAGGGATTTCTCAGCAATGCACATCTATCTGCTTGTTGCACTCACTAAGCACATGTATCCATCTACGCATTGCTGCCTGCACTCAAGGAAAAAAAGATTCAATAAGCAAGACTGCAGGAATCTCATCAAACTTGGGTGACATGCTCAAGTGTCACCTCTGTCCTGAGTCCTCAGCACTGGGCTGAGTTATGTGAGGGGGGGGCAGTGGTGGGGCACACTGGTGTGGGCACTGATGTCCTGACTAACAGCATCTGGGGTGTCAGGAGGATGGCACATGTCCCCAAACCCAGTGCAGCAAAGCCTGTGCCACTCTGGCCTGGGTTGTACTGGGGTCTGGGTGTCCATAGCTGCTCCTCTTCTGCCCTCAGTTGTTCCTGCTGCCCTTTCTGCAAAAGTTCTTTCTCTCCTGCTCCATTTTTACCTGATCTCAATGAATATTTCTATTTTTTTTTCCCTCTTGTTCCTGCTTCCATTAATTTTCTCTATCTGTACTCTTTTAACAACTCTCATGTGCCAATGCCTCCACAACACACGTTGCTTCTCTATGGACAGTGCCAACCATGGCAGAGGGAGAAGGGAGTCCTGAGCCAGAGGGTTGAATTTCAACTCAGCTCAATGGGAAATCTTCTTCTTAGAGACCATTCCTCATTAGACATCATCCTCAGCAGATAGAGCAAACAAAGGAGAGACTCCAGGGGAGCAATCTGTCTACTGGGAAGCTAGCTGGATCTCCAAGGCAGATCAGATACTCCATTTCCCTTCCTTAATTCATCTTCTCCCTCGTTCTCCTGTCGTCCTTTTTGTATTCAGGAGGCATCCTCAAGCTGGAAAAAACACATTATTCTGGAGTCATTCTTCAAACACCAAGATGGGGCTCATTTCTGTGAGGCACAGTCTGAGCCCACGTGGTGCCCCACGGCTCAGGCTGCCACCTGCCCCCAAGCAGGTATTTTGGGGGTAGAGTGATGGAGAGGGTGAAAAGCGGATGCATGTGAGTGCTTTGTAGCAATGGGCAAGGCATAAAAACTGATGGCTGAGCTCTATCACACACACATGTCATTTTGAGATGGAAAACACACCAGTGAAAGGTCAGTGAGCATCACCTGGGCCACGGGACACATGCCAGACACAGGTCACGCACGAGTATTCAAATGGGAGCTGGTGGCTAGCTGAAGAGACAGTTAAGAAACATTTATAAAGTTGGTTTGAGATATTTACATTTTCCCCAAGAGGGAGAACACAACAGGAGTGAAGAAGGAATAAATAAAATCAAATGAAATACCTTGCAAAGGATTCTGAAAAATTAATACAGGTAGCCAGCTAATCTCTAGCTGATGAATCGCTCTGCTGTACACAAGCCACGGAGCTGGTTCGATATTCTTTAACAAATATTGCTTAAAAGTATGACAATTATTGCTATCATATTCAGCAGCAGCTACCACAGGTCTCTGAGGTTTTCCTACTGACAGTTTCCAGTGTAAATGCAGCTGTTGGCATACAAATGATTCGGTATCATGATTATTGATTACACCGGAGGCTGGTGGTATCTGAAGGTAGTTAGTCAAAGTCAACACAGTGAATTGTGTTAAATATGAATATTACTTACACACTAATACTACTAATACAAATATACATTATCAATCAGTGACAGAGCCTTTAAGGAATAAGCATACAATGTCATGCCTAATTTGTGTGCTCTTAATTGTGATTAAAAGTTCCATTTAGAGCATTGTGACACAAATGGCTGGCATTACTCAACATGGTTTAAAATACTGGAATTAGCTCTTGTATCCCCTAATTTCTAGTAAACTTTGTCTCTTGGCATTTAAAACAACTCCTTCTCGGTCTATAACCCACCTGTTCTACTCCAGCCATTTCTGAGGCAGTATTTCATCAGGCTGATGCTGAAGGCGCACACATATGTCTGGGACTGGATTAGGAATTGCTTCAAAGTTTCCCTAGGATGCCCAATACTTGAGTATCATAAGCAATGACTACTTAGTGACACGTTTATGTTGATGTCTTTTGAAAACAGAGCTTGAAAAACGTCTTGGAAAACTAACCTACCAATTTTCTATCCCTTGTACTTGCCAGGCCTAACTGCAGCTTAATATGAAACCGGTGCCTGGATCAGAAAAGACATTCAGAGCCACTAATTCTGTCAGCAGCACAAACGGGACTTTGGGAACGCAGTTAAATAAGGCCAAGAGAACTCATGCATATTAAATATTACTACCTGCTGAAACTTATTTGGCATGCAGGGAACATTAGGGGCTGACTGCGAGGGGAGACGCAACACATGCCTGTTGCAGTGAGACAGCACCAACATGGGGGGAATGTGCCCCCTGGCTGTGTGTCCCGTGTCTGTGTGCCCCGTGGATGTGTGTCCCGTGGCTGTGTGTCCCGTGGCTGTGTGTCCCGTGGCTGTGTGTCCCAGGGGTCCATCTCCAGCCACAGGCACTACTGGTGCTGGAGTGACTCCCACAGCATCACTCAGTGTCACATGAGCAGTTCCCCACCACAACGTGGTGTTGGTTAAGTGGCTGCAAAGCCCGTTTCATTTTTCTCTGCTCGTGTTTTCAGCTGACTCTGCGTCTGGGATTGTCTGCGAGGTCCCTGGAGAGTTTGTGCTCTGGTTTGTAGGGCAGACAAAAACAGATGAGGCCAAAATACTGCTGAACTTGTGATCACTGGGAGTGCCAGCACACACAGCACCTGGACAGGGGCTGAGAGTCCCAGAGGCACATACATCTCTGCATACATCAAGCTCGGAATGATCCTCCCTAAAAGTTCAAGAATGATGTCAAAAACAGGGGAAGTTCTGCTGCAGAACTCCTGATCTAATTAGAAAAAAATCTGTTTCACCTTAGGGAATGAGGTAGGTTTCATCAGACAAATGGCTTGCTGAATGCGGGGGGAGTTAAAACACTAGTAAGTTAAAAATGGTAGTCCTGAAGCAATACAGATAATTATGCATAAGAAAATATGTTGAAAATGTGGGAGTTAATGAAACAGAACTGTTCATATGTAGCCCCACAAACACTTGCAAATTATTGTTCTTTTTTTTTATAATTAGTTTTTAGATTACCTGGGAATGAAAACAGCAAGGACAACACTTGACAGTGACAGAGATGCTGAAAAGCCTTGATTCTGTTCAGGGCTGCAGAAAACCTGAAGCTGTATAAATGCACCCAGAGTAGGAAGCCTGTGTTGGACACAGAGCCCATGAACTGCTGGGTAAGAGGGACCTGGAGTGGTGCCTTGCAGCTCCACTGACATTCTCTACCCCAGCTGAAGAGTTAAGATACTAACCCAAGCTAAAGGAAACTACAGCACATGTCAAACCAATTTAAAGGTGGCCAAGTTCTACAGTTCAGATCCAAGCCTACACCTCAGTCACTGCTCTTCTAGCACTCACTTCAAGCCTGACTCCATGTTGTGTTTCCTTTCAGTTAGAGGTTTGGCTATAGAAAGTGGCATAAATTCACTGACTTTTTCAGAACTTCACCAGCCAAGACTTTGGACTGTATCTTCTTTCTGGAAGCTGGCTAAATTTTTTCCAGTTTCCAGCACTGTTCATTCCTACTGCAGGTTTCTGCTCTAGTGTTTGGGTCATTGCTTTGTTCATGGTATATTTATAAATGCTTTGTGAAGAGTCAGTAAACGAACAATAAATCATCATCCACTGCTACCAAGGCTGAAGGATCTAAAGGGCATTTACAGCTACAACTTAAAACACTCTCCATCACCTACTGTTCTGCTAAGAAAGATTTTCTATCACTCACTATTCCTGTCTATAAGGTCTCATAACATACTTATCACTCTCTATAAAATACATTTCCTGTAACCTTCAGAGTGTGAATAAGCTTATTTACATATGGATGTCACTAGTTCAAGGTTTCTGTAAGGAACAGAAAAGGCTGGAAATCCTGTGGTATGTGCAAGGCAGACTCATCCCATCACCTTTGACAAGGTGAGAATTCAATTTACTGAATTCACTGTAACTGGTAGGGTCAGTTCATTTTTAGGGGGCACAGGATTTGTTATGATGGAGGACAAAATCTTTCTCACCTTATGTTTTTGACTGAGTGTCTGATCGCAGACTTCACAGCAGCTCCCTCAAAAGTGTTAACTTGTGTATTGTATTATTGACTACACTGATAATAACCTGGCACTGCTGAAACAATATCAACAACGCTGAGATGACACACACTTTATCTCAAATATTCCTTTTTCAAAACAACCTCTCTTCCTATTTTCTTAGGCACGACAAACAAAATAATTGTTCTTGTTCACAGAGGATAAAATAAAATAAAATAAAATAAAATCTTCTTTTACCCAGAGGAAATCTCTTTTTCCACCCAACTAAAGAGGTAATCTATTTTCTTTATCCTTCCACCCCAGTCCAGAAGCTGTGTCAACATGGTTAACTGGATACCTGACAAAGCTGACAGAATGTGCCTCTCCGACGGCGCAGTTCGGAATATGGTGTCAGTGGAAGTGACCTGTACCACTTCACTGACATTAGAGCACCCCTGGAATGGCTATTACAGTGCCAGTAGATGTGGCTAAGGCTGATAGCAATCCATGAAACAACCTTTCACAACCACTCCAGGAGAGAACTAAAGCGTGGACGCAGAAAATGTTTGAAATTTTGCAGGGCTATCATGCAAGGGGCCACATATTTTCTTTTTTAGCAATCTGTGGGACTGTATCTGCTGTGCAATTACGCTGTGCAACAGAGGGGTTAGGATTTATATCAAAACGTAGCAACCAATTACACTCCAAGCATTCTGCAGGTAGAGCATTTTATGAACTAGAATAGCATGAGGCACCACTTTTGAGTGTAATTAATCTTAATTAATTCCCTCATATTTAATATTAGCCTATCTGCGTATTTAAAAACCTATCTGACACACCCCCATCATACTGCCTGAACATCTCCTAGTGAATTAAAATGAAAAATGACTATAGCAATTATTGCATGTTTAGCTGCAGTAATGATTCTTAAATTAGTAATTTCCCAAGACGTGCTAATGCAGTGACTGGCTTCTCATGGTTTTGGGTGGTTCAGTTTACACATAAATTTGCATGGATTTAACAAGCAGTGCAAAGTTGTGCCCTTTTAAACAAATGACTCTGACTTTATGTCTGAAAAGGACATCAGTGTATCACCACTGTCATAGAATCACAGAATTGTTTAAGTTGGAAAAGCCCTCTAAGATCATTAAGTCCAGCACTGCCAAGCCCACAGCTAAACCATGTCCCCAGGTGCCAGATCTACACGTCCTTTAAATCTCTCCAGGGATGGGACTCCACCACTGCCCTGGGCAGCCTGTGCCAGGGCTTGACAACTCTTTCTGCAAAGAAATTTTTCCTAATATCCAATCTAACCCTCCCCTGGCACAACTTGAGGCTGTTTCCTCCTGTCCTGTCACTTGTTACCTGGAAGAAGAGACTGTCCCCAACCAGCTAGAACCTCCTTCCAGGTTGTAGAGAGTGAGAAGGTCCCCTCCCCGAGCTCCCTTTTCTCCAGACTGAACACCTCCAGCTCCCTCAGCCACTCCCTATCAAACTTACTCTCTAGACCCCTCCTCAGCTCCCTTGCTCTTCCCTGGACATGCTCCAGCCCCTCAATGTTCTTCTTGTGGTGAGTGGCCCAAAACTGAACCCAGGATTGGAGGTGGGGCCTCACCAATGTGAGTACAGGGGGACTGTCACTGCCCTGGTCCTGCTGGCCACAGTATTGCTGATACACCCAGGATGCCATTGGCCTTCTTGGCCACCTGGGCACATGCTGGCTCATGTTCAGCTGCCACCAACCACCACTTTGCGTTGGTTTGGCTGATTTAGGGCGTCCGTTCTTGAACCCAGCAATTCTGGTGCAGTTTTGCTCTGAGCTTGTGAGCCCAGACAAAACTCCTGGTGTTTGATGCTTACATGGTAGGAAGCTCTTTCCTCCCTGTCCATCGGGCGTGTCACGTACATCCTGCCAGACACAGGGTCAATGCTGAAGACTTCCATGGGCGGCTGGTCGGCTCCCACTCCAGTGATGCTGTACCTGATATGGATCTCTTTGTCCTTATCGGAACGAATCTGCAGGGAACAACAGAGACAGGAATCCATAAGTTCTGGACAAAAGCCAAATGGACGTTTAAGCAACTTTAAAGAACTGAGCCTGAAAGCTGCACAGATGTAACACCACTGTCAATTCTGACAAGGGAGCTGAATGCCAAAGGTTTGGAGAGAAGCCATGAAAGGTGTATTCTGCATAGTTTCAGTTATTTTACTCCTCTTTTATTCATGATTATTCTCTCTAGAAATCATTGAAATTGTGAATTTTTGACTCACCCAAAATGCACAAAAACCACTGTTTACATATTACTGAAACCACAGTTTCCTTAAAGTGTCCAAATTTTTCAGCCATACCCAAAGTCTCCCAGCCATTAATCACTTCTGAAAATGCTGTCTGCAAGCTCCCACATCATATTCTCAGTCCCTGTGACTGTGCACACAAATACTCCCATGAAATTTGAAGAACAGGGCTGTTTGCTCCCTCTTTGTCCAATTCTGCTAGCTTGACAAGGCCAGGCTGAGAATCCCCAGTGGGATATTACCATTTCATGTGATTATTTGCTGAAGAGAATGATGTTTTGGACATTGTTTCTGAAAGCCCTTCCCTCCCATACCTTGCAAACAACACTGCAAACCAAGTACAGCACAACGAGTTACATGAACCTTGGATACAGAGCCAAGGAAAAAAAGAAGGGAGGTTAATATGTTGTCCTAGCAACCCTGACTATCTCTTTAAAACACAAATTTAATTTTCTGATCAAATGCTGAAAGAAGTTCTTGCAACAGCATGACTATTCCCGAAAGAAAGTGCAAGGTACAAATAAATTACCACCCCCCGCACCATCACAAACTGTCTTGGCACTGCAAAAGCAATGTGCATAATTTTTTCCCTAACAGGTCTATGAATACAACGAAGTAGTGGGAAGATAATAGAACCCTAGTAGCTGAGTGCATGTTATCACCTCTGCTATGGCAGCTGCACGCTTGGAGTGTGCTCAGTGGGCGCAGGAGACCCTGCGTCCCCCAAACAGCCCCGGTTTGGGGAGCAAGGGTCCTTTCCCAACGGAAGAGGAGGCTTTGCTTGTCAGGCAAAGGGATTGAGAAGGGGCTGTGGGCTGCTCTGCACTCCCCCCATATGTGACCTATTGATATTCCTTCCTCTCCTGAGGCAGGAGGCCGACGAGGTGCTGAACGTGTCGGTGCAGAGCAGTATCAGATCCCTGGCTCTGAAACTCTCCTTTGATACCTTTGTCCAGATCATCATCAAGTTTATACACTGTTTTCTTTGTACTGCCTCCACCAAACCGTCCGTTCCCGTTAACAGCTAATCATGTCACTTATTACAAGACACTGCCGGGATTGATCCGCGCGGCACCTGCGCTGCTGGAGCTGAAGGTCAGGGAACAGAGACAGTTTCATCTGTCTTTTCTCTGAAGGATTCACTGCTTGTTACACTATTAGAATCGAGGAAAACTGATTGGACTTACACTGGTATAGTCACTTAAAAAAGGGACTGGGAACACTGAAAGTGCCCTCACGATGTTACACGGGTTTTTGTGGGCCTAGTGGGTATTTGCAACAGAGACCCAGGCAGACAGGCATGAATCCAATTTCCATTAGCAAATCTGTGGGTGAAGAAAGGTATATTAAAATCAAGGTTTGTTTGCACAACTGTGGTTTTAATGATGAAAGCCGACTCCCCAGCTCAATAACTGAAGACCACAGCCCCCATTTTCAGAAGGTCAGCCCTCACCCTGCCAGAGGAAAGGGCTGGAAATCAAACTGGTTTCAATGTCTGTGCAAATGCACAGCTCAAGTCAGGGAGTTCAACATCCAACCCACTATGTCCACAGCTGTAGCTTATATTAAGTGATAATCAAGGAAGACACTGCTGGACACCCAGCTTCGAGCCAGAGTGGGGTTCCCACCTTAGAAATTAAAAAGGGTAATGTGGGACACAGAGTTGTGTGTCTTCATCACTGTCTGTCTGCACAGTTCCAAAGAATCCATAATGTAAATTTTCCTTAATAAAGTTGGAAAAACCTACAACAAACCAACCACGGTATCTCCACTTTTCCTGCCTTTTTGCTCACTGGAACATGGAAACTGGGAGGGTCTCCCCATCCCCAGCCTGGTTCAACTATGGCTGTACTTGAGCACAAGCACCAAAGAGCTAATCGGTCTCTCCAGAGAACCAAAATGGAAGCAGTTTTAACCCGAATCTCAGAAAAGGAGAGTCTGTTAGTTCTTTATGGACATTTTTCTGCTCTATTTCCTGTTGCATATAGTACCCAGATCCCATTGTGATAGAAGCATTAGAAATGCATAGAGAGAGACAGAAGCAGGGGAAAGGAGTCTGGATTTAAATATTCAGTGCTAAAGGCACTATATTTTATTTTCAGGAAACGCAGATAAACAGAAGCTCTCGAAGAAAGCTATGTATAGTTTAATAAAGTGTACGCTATAGGATGTCCTTGCAGCACTTTTATTAGCATTAATAGGGTCTAAGCTGTCTGTATGTAAATCATTGCAGATCTAGGAGATGGAATATATCATAAGACCCACACGACTTACCAATTATACTGAGAGAATTCCATGAGCTAATTATACTGCATTGAGCAAAACAAAGATGGGGGAAATATGCTGCAAATATTCAGTAGTGACTCGTTATTTGCTGTTAATTGTGGTCATAACACAATGGTCTGCCTGTTACCTGTACTTAAATCCATTTTCAGTAAGAATACAAGGGTGTGAAGTGTGCAGAAAAAAATCATGTAAGAAGTAGCACTTGTCACAGAAAGTTGCAAAGACCATTCACAATGAAGCATAGTACATATTACTACCAGGGAGATATTTATCACACACATGCTTTTTATATTGGAACATATAATTTTAGCACTCTTAATGAGATTTAAAATAAAAAAAGATTTTTCAGTAATCCTTTAACATTTTGACCAAAGGTTTCATTTGCCTAATTCCCAGGGTGCAATTTAGTAAATCTTGTTGAGAAGTTAAGAACATTATCTGAACACAATGTAAGGTTTACATCTTTTGTTGAAACCATTCCTGGAGCAGTTTACCATAATAATAATAATAAGAATAAAAACTCCTCTATTCCCAAAGAGCTCACTAGATCAGGAAAAAAAAAATTACTGATTGGGGGAATTTACTGGTTCAGAAGGGAGTTACTTTTTCCCTCATTTATGCCTGGGAAGCGAGAAGAGATCCATATGATAATCTTCTGACTGGAGAACACACGCAAGAATTTTCCTTTCATTTATCTCTCCTTTTATAAAGCAGTCAAGAGGTATGCAGGGCTCTGGGTTACAGAACAGATGGCAGAAGGATGGTTTTCCTTAGCTGCATTTATACATTTTTTACTCGAAGAACCCTTGGAGCTTTGAGCTTCTCCACTGCCAGGCATGAGACAACTCTGCATATGATGATGTGAGCAGGATGAATGATGATGGCTGATGACTGTCATAAGGGGAATTTGCTTGTAAAGCAGCTTTTATGCTCTGAAAAACCCCTCCGGGATGGAGCTTGGAGTGGATTGTTACACTGGTGAGGGAAAATGTCCCAGATCAAAAGGCAATTTATGTTGGAAGATGCAATCCCTTGTTCCTACCCTACCTCATGGACGCAGGTGGCATTTTCCATGCAGGAAACCTCACCTACTCTGACAGATACAAATGGACCATCTGGGAAATGTGGGATCAGCCACCAAAGCCCCATAGGGAACATGTTGCAGAGCCAGGCACTGCACTGGTGTTGCCAGCCCTCTGCTTGGCTGTGGCCAGCAAGGACAGGGTGGCCTTGCAGCCCAACAGTGAGTGGTTGGAGCTCAAAGCAATGATGCATCATCCAAAACAGAGCATAGGGGCTGCTGTCAATGTTTGCAACTCAGAACCAGAACGCCAAGAGTCTGACTCAGCCCTTGTTTCTATAGACTATTCCCAGAAACAGGAGAAATGGTGTGATTTCACAGATGGGCATTTTCTACTGTGGGTTCTGATATAATAACTAAAATGTGTGAAAATGAACATTGCAACTCCTGAGATAATACAGGGCTAAGCCCTTCTGAGCTGGCTTTTTCCTCTGCAGCAATGCCACATTTAGATAGAAAAGCAGCCTGTGCTTGTGGCACAGGACTGCATCCTGCTTTTACAGATAACATCTTAGGGTTTGTGCATGTCCATTAGGATTTACTGGGCAGCTAAACCATTCCCACTAGTTTTACTGGTGAATGGAATTTCAGGTACCAGATTTTGTTGCTGTTTTTCTCCTGTTGATCCATGTCCTAGTGCTCTCAGCACTTCCCTTTCTTGCCGAGGGGGTTAGAACTCACAAGCCCTCCCTCTCTCACCTTGGCAGATGACAGAAGCCACCACAGATCCCTGTAATGCTCCCATGCCAGGAGCAGGGGTGATACACTATGGAGAGCTGTGTGGTCAGCAGATTGGAGGGCACCAGTGAGATCATAAATGGAGCATGACATTGCCAGAAAAAGAAGTGTCCCGATGGAGGCTGTTTTGATATCAGTAAAGGAAATGCCTGGAGGCCTAGGAAATGGGGTGTGTAAGGAAAAGCTGAACAAACAAGGACAACTGAGCCTACAGAAGAGGTGACTGTAACAACAGTGCTCCTGTACCTAAAAAAACTATAGAGAATTTCATGATCCCTGCATGATCTGGGTTCTGCCCATCACCATGCAACGGTAATATATGAGTGCCTGGAAATGCATCTGGAGAAAGCAAAGCAGGAAATTTATTCTCTGCTACATTTTCCTTCCACAGAGCAAACTAGAAAATAAATTTCCTTTTAAGTTCTTCATCTTGCTCTATAACATATGGAGTCAAGAACGCCCTTCAAAAAACACTTAGTTTCCCAAATCTCCCACAGAATACTATGCAACATTTGCTCTAACATGACCTGGGGATACTTAGACTTGATTTTTTTGTTTTATAAAGCCCATTATAATTATTAATGAACACATAAAATAATGTAAATGATAAGCAGTG